GGAAATTGTATGACAAAATGGAAGTTACAAGATAGAAGTAATTTTTAAGCAAAAAACAAAACCGACTTCAATTCTCATATACAAATTTAAGATTATCGCGTAATTTTTTCATGATCCAATGGTCGGATTTAAACCAAATTAGTATGGGCCAACATGTGAGGTAACACATGGAATTATTGAAATCGGTTAAGGTAGTCCAAAGTTAGGCGGTAACTTACATAAACAAAAATGTTGCGACGAATTGAAAACATTTCTCCTTTTTGTGAAACCGGTTAAAAATGAAAAAATTTGCTTTAAAATGAAGTGAAAAGTTCAATAAAGGTTGTCTTTAAATCCATTGATTTATTTTATTCTTAAATGTATACATATGTATTTTTTGTTGCATTTCGCTTAATGAATTTCACATGTAACGCGCTTACGGTGATGCCAAAATAGCAGTCATCCGCTGCTACGATGTCGCATCAGCCGAATCGGCATACAAACAAATTTGGAAAAGTATTCAGATTTACGTGAGCTGTACCGGTTTTAAAATATCTCCAGGATTCGAGTTTTTCATACAAAAAATTATAAAAAAAAAAAATTTCCAAAAAATCTCTTCAGATAAAAGACTTGAAGCTTAAAACGGCTGCATAAAAATGTTTAAACATTTTATCAGCGGAATCAAAATAATGAGATTTTTCAGTTCACGTAAATCTTAATATTTCCCCGAAATATTTTGGTGGAAGTCTTAAAATACCGAAGGAAAACAATACCATTTTTTTGTATGGAGTGAAGCACCCTAATATAAATGTGTGCACACAATTAATGTATGTGCCCGTATATGATAAATTGTATGTTAATTTTGTTTTAGGTGTAATTTGAATTGAAGCATTTTTTGTTATTGTTTAGGAAGTTGTTTTGTTAAATAAAATATTGCAAGCATTGCTTGTTTGCCAATGATATGCGAAAGAAATTAGTCCCAGGTTTTAATTTTTCTCCTTTTTTAATGAAGTTAGGTTCCGAAAAAAATTTAGAGTGGCAACCGTGCTCATGAAAAGAATACTTCTACTGGTTGCAGCATCTTGTTGGAACTTGAACAAATATTTGTTGACAAGTATTTAGAAATATTAGCCAGAGGCTGACAAAAATTCAAATTCTGTAAACCATAAAAAAATTAGTCAGAGGTTACGCTTACGGACAAAACAAACTTTATGAACAAGTAAAGGCTTTGTGTACGCCGGAAGCGTTATAGTACATACAGTATATTTTGCTTTGCTGCCTCTATGCTTAAGTGCACATTTAAGATACCTACCCCAAAATGCGTATCAGAGGCATTATTTTTAACATTTATAAGGAAACTGCTCCGATAGATGCATTTAGTATACCTGCACATTGGCGATACCTGCCTTAAAAATTGTGCGACTAGTATCAATTATCAAAGAAAGTATTACGTTTACCTGCACTGGCCCTACAATTACCTAATTTTACAACTTTTTATTTATTTTGTTCATCTCGCAGAACAACGAAAATGGCTATAAATTTATGTAGTTATACAGATAATTAGATACTATTCGGTAAAAATTTCGCTTGCAGTAATTTCTACGTGGTAAGTGCTTCTCTATTATTTGGTTTCATTGGAATTTGGATACCTTCTTCATTGAAGTAGTAAAGAAAATTCGCTTAAGTGCCTTTTTCGGTTAAGTGCACAAGTTTTTCGTGCAAAGAAGGATGTGCAGCTAAGCAAAATATACTGTACATAGTTAGACACGTTCATATTTTCGACAACATTACTTGTTATTGTCCGCTGGAAACGTTGGCGCAAGTGATACAAATAAATAACAATATCACTAAGTATTCGTATAAGTATTGTCACTTCATTCCACACAGTCTTTTCGCTATTCGCTTTAGTAATTCATATAACTTAGAATATTTATGCGCCGTGGGGAAAGATTCTCTAATTAAGTATGCAAATTGTGAGAATTGACAATGATTAGGAAGGAGAATAGAAATAATGAAAATTAAGGGCAATAGTAAATGTAACAAAGAGCAACAATGTAAAGAATATAATGAAGGCGCACCGATGCGATAAGATTCGAGTTCAATATGTGCACTGCCGGAATAATAGCTGAAATACAATGCCGGCGAACGGCGAACTCACCACAGCGAAATTCGCGCTGTCAAAATTAGAACACCCGCAAGCATATGAAATTGAACACAGCCAAAGCGAAATGCGAAGTTCGCTTGGCGGCGTTTCATGGCGATAGATTTATTTCTATCGCCCTGCTGGGCGATGACAGCTGTGCGTGCCAAAGGTGGCCGTATTTGTTTTTTGCTTTCAAAGTTTTAAAAGAAAACAACCTAAACACGAATTATTTTCGTTGTTTGATATACATAGTTGTGGATTCGTTAAATCTGGCTTGAAACAAATTATTTATAATAATCTTTCTTTGTTTTACATTTATATGTGTTATCATTTCCTCACTTCTAAATATGGTTTAGTTTTTTCTAAATATGGTCACCCAAATTATAAAGGCGACCAAATGGGATCAGCTGTTTTCGCTACCGCTCTAATTCTGTTTAAGTAGGCGAAATAGCTGGGCGAACGGTGAACGACAGCATCGCCCAATTCGGCGAGGTTTGCCGTTCGCCGGTATTGTATTTCATGCATAAAGTATTGGCACAGCAAATTTTTCACAATATATGCAACAATTTTTATTCTAATATTTTTCAGCCAATTTTGTCAAAGAATATGGTTCATTCTACAACAAGAAATATAAAAATATATAATAAAATATGTAGTTTTGCAGCCCATGCAATTCTAGTAAAAAAAATGCAAGTTCGGAGTTAGTCTAAAATCGCATTGATTTTTGAGAATTTTTTGATTGAAGGCGTTTTGCAATTTTTCTAGAAAAAGTATTTTCGAAAAAAAATTTTTTGTATGGAAGAGACTGCGTGAAAAAAATTGCCAAAAATCATAAAATTGATTGGGCTACAAATCTGCATACTCAAAAACTTCTATAAAATCTGATTAAAAAGTTGAAAATTTGCATGAAAATTTGCTGAATTTTCGCGAGTTTTGCACACAGTTTAGGAAATACATGTTTATGTGGTGGTGGTCCCATGCTAATCTGGTGTAGATCCGAACATTGGATCATGAAATATATATATATATTTTTGTTTAAGTCGTTTTTTTGCTAAAAATTACTTGTATTTATTTAGTTATTTATATGAGAATTGAAGTCGGTTTGTTTTTTGTTTAAAAATTACTTGTTCATATCTCTGGAGGACTTTGGCAGGACTTGTAATTGACCCGATGCATTCCAGTCGATAATTCGGTGAATTAAAAAAAAAAAAAACACTAACCGGCCGTCTTCACGTGCCGGGAAATCTCGCTTGCGTGACGTGATTCTTGGCAAGCAACCCCGGGATTTTCGCCATTTAAAAAGGTCGGGATCCCGGGATTCCGGGGTTAACATTCCTAGTATGTATGTATGTACTATCATAATAAATCAATTTAATTTTTGGAAGCTGCCTTGCGTTAGCATCAAATATTTTATTTCTGTATTGCCTCTGCCAGTTGACAGTTGAATTGAATCGGTGCAACGCGAAATACTGGTGCATAGTGGAAGATGCGATTTTCTCTTATCCGTTCAACAATTATTATTTTTATTTTTGTTATAATGTCAACATGCGCAGCAATAAATTGTCAACCCTGTAAAATACAGGAGGCACGAAAAATACATGCGGAGGAAATGCAGAGAAAGGCGAACCAAAATAGAAATACTACACTGGCGGCATAAATAGGAAGACACTCCTTTTATATGCATGCTCAAAGGATACAAATTTCAAAGTTTTTGATAATAAATAGTTTTCAGTCATAAGTACATACATACGTACATATGTACATACAGTAAGTAATTCACGCTTTATAGAATATTTTTTACATTAAAGTGGGTGAAAAGGTGCAAAATAAATTAGGCGACACTAAGTAATTGTTTTAATATACAATACATACATATGAGTATATATGTATAATGTATGTAAAGCAGTCTGGTTGAGTAGTTAGTTCACAAATTATTACTCATTCGAATGAGTTGTACGTAAATAAGTCGTTCACATACTTCACCTTGTACATATGCATGTATGTATGTACATATATGTATAACTATAAATATACGAAGTGCCAAACATTTAGCAAAGCAATAATTAAAAAACCACACATAAATATTTACATATGTACATTAGGGTGGTCCAAAAGTGCATATGAAAAAGTAATGTCGGGATTTTAATGCTTTCACCCCCTAGAATCGTTCTATACCGAAAAAAATATAGGTACATACAATTTTGTTTTTTGTTTTCGAACCAAAAAATATTTAGAGGTCGCTCAAAGCGATAAAATTTTTATAAAACAAGTAATTTTCAGCAAAAAAAAGATCGGATCTAAACCAGATTAGTATGGGACCACCTCTGAGACACTACCTTTCCGATGCAAAAAGATTTATCGAAATCGGTTGACGTGGTCCAAAGTTATGCGGCAACATACATACAAAAAAAAAAATATTCCGACGAACTGATAACCTCCTCCTTTTTTGGAAGTCGGTTAAAAAGTGGATAAATAAATCATAGGCTATTGTGATTGGAAGTCGTCTGAACAGAAATAAAGTTTTTAGATAGAAAAATATTGATTTTCAAGAATTCTATACTATTTCTACGAAAACTAGTTTTTTTGTTTTTTTTTGAGCGATCTCTAAATATTTTTTGAATAAAAAAAACGCGTATAATTATTTTCAGTATAGAACAATCCTAGGGGTGAGAGCATTAAAATACCGACTTTACTATTTTTGGACCACCCTAATGCTCATACATACCTACAAACTACTTACGAACCTACGCTATTGTGCTAAAATATTTTATATACGTAAAGTACGCTAAATCAACAGACTTCATACATAAGTACACAAGAAAAACGTTTTTGCGTTGCTCATTTACTCATCACCGGCTTTTCTCGTCGCCTCATTTACTTTCAATCGCTTTTTGTTGGATCGCCTGTCAGCGTCACACTCCAGTTTTAATTCAACTCGCAAGTCGATCGTTTCGTCGTTTTAGTTTACGCAAAGTTTAATTAAAACTACCTGCATACGAATCTCAATTTCGATTTTACGTACACCGAGAAAATGAGAGCCTTTTCGCTGTTCACCGCATTGGTGGTGCTTGTTGCAGCATTCGCCACAGTGGCACAAGCATCCTTCTGTCCTTGTGATCTCACGCAAAAAGGACAAATATGCGGTTCGAATGGCATCACCTACAAAAATCGCTGTGAGTTCGAGTGCACTCAGAAGGACTACAAGAAGTTGGGTCGCACGTTAAACATCGCCAAGACGGGTGCCTGTTAAGCTTGATGAAAATAAAATGGATTGAGGAGAGCAGTGGAGGCCATGCTTTGTTGTTTGTGACAGGTGTATCAGATAGTAGTGGTTAAATGAGATACTGGGCGTTTGGTGGTGGAAGTTGAGTTTAAGGTAAAACGGAAGGAAATCTACAAGAAACATTGGTTGAATGAAGCAACGTACAAATACATATTTACATGTATAAATATTTATTATGTGATTGGTTGTTAGAGTAAAAGAGATTAATCAGTAGCAGCGACATATACATACCTACATACATACATATATATATATATAGTGGCAATTATGCGACACACTCTAGTTATTTTGACCATATTGAGATTTTAAGCACTTATTGTGACTGCAATAATAATAACCAATTAAAATGGAATTAATAAATTATAGCGTACTCGGTTGAAATCCAAATGTAAGTGTTTAATTTAACGTCAGTCTGATCGAGATGCTTCACCAATCTAGGTGGGAAAAGTAACATATCGAGCCCTAACCGCCAAAAGAGCGTAAGATGTAGAAATGTATCTAGATGATTGGAGGATTTCTGCACCGGCGGTTAGGATTCGATATATATATATAAATGTCAAATAAGTGTCACATACGTGTTTTATACGCTAATATAAATAAATGTATATACACATAACGCTCGTTTGATGTGGAACGCCACAACTCAAGGAAATAATAAAAAAAAAAAAAACAATAAAAAGCGCTTTTTAAAGCTATCTGAAAAAAATTAACATAAACTAAAAACATTTACTTAATAATTCCAAGCTTAAAATTTATTCCAGAGAATAAATATGATATCGAACCAGAATTTAGTTGAACAAAGAGGAAGTGAAGTGAGCAAAGTTCGAACAGATACAAATTCGCCTTTCAGGAGACACAATTAGCGGATTCAATAAAAAAATTTAATGTCGAATTGTCTTAAAGTCGTCTTAAATTTTTCAATGTAAAATAACGCTGGTTTTACATTTTAAAACTTAATTTTTCGCAAAAAAATATCAAACTTTAAGATATTACGATGGTCGCTCAAGAACCCAGTTTAGGCTGCGTTTCACCAAACTCATTTATGTGGAAATTAATTTTAATTAAATTTTTTATTTAATTCTCATTGAACTTTTTTCAGCTTCAATAAGCCCTATGTTTTAATGAATAAAAATATAGCACCACCGTGCTCAAAGTGGTAGTAAAATCCGGGCTGTTACATAAGTAAACAGCTGATACACAATATTGTGGTGTGTACATATTGATCAGCTGCTTAATTGTGTAACTTTTCTGAGTGTGGTTATTCCGATTTAAGTTTTATTTAAGTGAAGGGCATAGGTCACTTTAATCAAAATTAAAAAAAATAAAAATGACTGGTGTAACCAAAAATTTGAATATTAAAATAATTTTCACTTAAATTAATCTGGGCTCGAATCGTAACATCTGTTCACGGATCGACCATACGAAAGAAAATTACGTGATACCGTCGGTCGTATAAGTTGAATGGGATAAAGAGTACGTTCACGTACATATGTCATAATCCGAAAACGGTGTTTTTACGTGACGAGTAATACGATATCGTATGTGACGATTCGAGCCCTGGTTAAACGCAGCCTTAAACTTTTTAAATAAATTTTTTAATCAGCTTAGGACAAGCGCTGATGCCCGAATTCACATACTTAATCGAACGTTGTTGTTTTTTTGTCATGACTTTCTTCCAGCAACGCAGCAATATGTTGATTAGCTTTAAAGCACTGAGGGGCACTGCCTTGCCCGCGGGCTAAGCTATTTTAAGCTTTCTCTACACTGTGTAAATGCGAATGGAATTTTTATTTTATCATAAACTTTGGACCTAGGTGAATTCAAGCAATTCTCTGAAATGTGCAAAATGTCGCCAGTGAAAGTTCACTATTTAGGCAGAATAATTTATCATTTTTAGCCCGTTGTTCGGTGATAAAAGGTTCCATAGCCGTATGAAAGACGGTGAAATTTGCATATATCAAGTGGCGTTGGTTACCAAGTGCGAGTTGGAAAACCCTATATTTTCGATAGTTCCCTCAATTTTATAACTAATTGTTCTTCTATTTGAAGCATATTTTGTACAAATATATGGCTATTTTAAATTAAATGTATCACGCGTTTCATATTCCCACTGATTACTAGAGTGATTGACTCAGTTTTTCCAAATCGGTTTCCACAAGTTTTTTTTTTTGATATCTAAGGCGGTTTTTTGAAATCTTGATTTTTCGAGTATCGAATAAACCGGATTTTTTTTTTAGCGAAGAAACCGGGGTTTTAATTTCACACAAATCTTGACCTTTCAATAAAATGTTTGCTTTTTTTTTCAAAGTTTTCAAAGATTTTTTTTCATTTTAAAGGAAACCCCTAAACAGTTGATTATTTGATTGTAATAAATGAATGCGTGGCGCTTAAACGTTTTCTACGTATTTGGCCGAGCTTCTCCTCCAATTTATGGTCTAATTCTTGATGTTGTTGCACAAATTGAGAGATCTATATCTTTACTCCACTTCCGAATAAGCTTTTTTATGGCAGAAGTGCACTCGGAAGTTTGCCTTTATCTGCCGAGGGCGACTGTTATTTAAAAAAAAATAATTGTTTTCGATGTTGCTGGGACCAGCGGAAAGAGCATTACTCAAATCTGAATAAAACAGCCAAAATGCAATGAAATATTAAAAAAAAAAGTTAAAATAAAACTGAACGTGAAATTGTCACTGATTTTTATTTGTTTTAATTTGATATAAAAAACCTTGTACATAGTTTGCTTTGCTCTTTTTACATAAAAGCTATATTTACTGTTAATAGTTTTATTCCAATTTTTGGTCATGGCGTGAGCATTCTCACCTTGCAACTTTAATTTCTGAAACTGATTTCCGAAAAGTGACAGAAAGGTCTTTCTGGCTGTTCATACGTGGAAATAAAAGTTCTCTTTCTCGGTTTGACAGCGATTTGCGAGAAATTGGAAATATTTCCAAGGCTGACACGCTCTTAAGATGCTGCAATAAATCATCGCCATTGCCCTGAATCCAATCCTATAATACCTGAATTTTGTAAATAAAAAAGTAAAGTATACCTTCTAATGACTTTTGGTGACGTAATCAAGCCTATTTTGTTGGGTTTTATAGACTTCAGTTGAGTTTTATTCACTTCACTGATGCTTTTTCAGAACGAACGCGATCATTTTGATATGCGCGTAGTTTAATTGAATATTTACCTCTATACAGTACCTTCGTTGACTTTTTAGTAAGATCAACTACGTTATAATTGGTTTTAATATTTTTTTCCTTCAGTGTATGTGTGCATATTTGTGTGTATTGATATTTTTTTTTTTTAGAATAGCCCACTTTCTTCTTATGATTACTAAAAACCTCTGCACTAGTGCCAAGGTGGGAGGCAGCAAATTTGTTTTAAAGCTATCAATTTCTCCTAGGAGATAGAAATTTTGATATCGCATAGTACTATGAATATATGAAAATAGACCTTTTGCTATAAAGTGTTCCCATAACGCAAGTAAGTACATACATAAAATAAAGTGTAAATGTTTCGATTTTTACCTTCTAATTGAATTGCTAATGCTTCTCTTTTGTTTTACATACATATATGCCGTTATTGGGGCTCGTTGTTTATTTATTTCTGAATAAGGCGTAGCATTTGAATATATGTGTTGCTTAATTTTTATCGCTTTGTACTTTGTTTAAATTTATTGTGCATTTGCTTATTTTTTCATTATTTAAATGCCCGCTTTAACGACTGAGGTCGATCAAAGCTTAAATGTAAGCAGACAATAAATTCATTTAAAAAGTTTAACTTAGTACCTATTTACATACATTTATATACAAATATACATATGTATGTATGTATATTAGGGTGGTCCAAATCAGTAAAGTCAGAATTGTAATGCTCTCACCACCTAGGATTGTTCTATATCGAAAAAAGTAGACCCCTTTTTTTTCCTTTGAAATCAAAAAATATTTAGGGGACGCTCAAAGTTTACCATGTATTTTTATATGGGAAAAAATTTTGTTCGTAGAAATGGTGTAGAATTCTTGAAAGTCAATAATTTTCGATCGGAAAACTCTGGTTATCTTCAGGAGACTTTCGGTAATAATACCCAATTGTTGATTTAACCATTTTTTAATACTAACAATTTTTTATTGGTCGCCCCATTGCATTTTTCGGGGTTTTTGTGTGTTTTTGGCAGACCTGTAAATTATAGTTGCAATGAACAGATTTTTGTAGAAAAATATTGATTTTTAACTATTCTATACAATTTCTAAGAAAAGTGGTTTTTTCCCCATATAACACACAGAAAACTTTGAGCGACCTCTAAATATTTTTTGAACAAAAAAAGGGTATATTTTATTTCGGTATAGAACAATTCTAGCGGCTGATAGCATAAAAATTCCAACTTAACTTTTTTTTTTACATGCATTTTTGGACCACCCTAATGTAGATACATACATAAATATGCACATATGTATATGTATATAATATAGTTAGGTACATATTATGTACTCATGTAATGGCTCTTTGAGTGGAAGTACGCTAATTAGAGGCTTCAGTGAATTTTCTGGATGTGTTCTTTATTTCGTCAGTCGGCATGCTGTTCGTTTGGGTAACCTTGTGAATCTTCAGTATGGGTAAATATTTACGTTTTAATTAGTGACTTGTTTTTATTGGGTATATTTTGTTTTTATTTATTGCTCTTTTTACTTGTTATCAGTTGTGGCTTTTATCTCGGACTGCCAACTTGTTTCTTTAGATCTGATTTGATGAATTTGGCCTTAATGAGAATTAACTTGGAAGGATTCTTTAAAAATAATATGAATATTAAATTGAAATATTATTCATAAAAGATTGTGAAAGGTCTGAATAAATATACATAACACTGAGTTTGAAGGTTGAGAGAGAGGGAGAGAGGTGGGCCTTTTATTAAAATTTTTCCGTTAAGTTCTTGTGGAAGAATAAATTAAACCTGCAAGGTTGCTTGATTTTGGTTTTAGTATTTTTGACGTGCTTTTCAAAAGAAAACCAAATGTTATAAGATGCCATTGTAAGGTGTCTCTTCAGGTAGTTAAATCTCGTCTTACAACTATGACCAATTTTTTTACATCATTCTGCTAAAAATATTAACACGACCTGCTTTGAAAAAATCCAGTGTTAAGGAATTATTATTATTTTATTTTGGAAGAGGGTGGCCCCATTGCGATGGAAACACCAAGTGTAGAAGGGCACCGCTTCACTTGGCATTTCAAATTGGCCTCAGTTGGCATAGAAGAGAAACGATTGGCATGATTGGTTGAACTCTGCCAAAATCACGCTGTGACCGCCAAATAAGAAAAAAAAAATCATTTTGGTAAAGATTTTAATTGCATTTATGCAAAATATAAAAATAATAATATTTTGGCTCTGGCAATTTTGCTAATTTTTCGGCCTAGCTTGCCGACACTTAGATAC